ACTTGGAACCCCCGAGAAGGTTTTACATTAAAAAAAAAAACAGTAGTAAGGACCTCCGATAAGGTTTCACATTAAAAAAAACAATTGGGACCCCCGAGAAGGTTTTACATTAAAAGAAAACATTTGGAACTGCCAAGAAGGTTTTACATTTTTAAAAAAGACAGTTGGTTCTCCCGAGAAGGTTTCAGATTAAAAAAAAGACAATTGAGACCCCTGAGAAGATTTTACATTTTTAAAAAAGTCAGTTGGACCCCCGAGAAGGTTTTACATTAAAAACAAAAACAGTTGGGACCTCCGAGAAGGTTTCACATTCTAAACAAAAAAAACATTTGGCGCCCCCAAGAAGACTTTAGACAATTGGGACCCCCGAGAAGGTTTTACAATAAAAAAAATTGACATTAAAAAAACAGTACTTGGGACACCCGACAAGGTTTCACATTAAAAAAAAACAATTGGGACCCCCGAGAAGGTTTTACATTTAAAAAAAAACAGTAGTTGGGACCTCCGACAAGGTTTCACATTAAAAAAAAACAATTGGGACCTCCGAGAAGGTTTTACATTAAAAAAAACATTTGGAGTCGCCAAGAAGGTTTTACATTTTTAAAAAAGACAGTTGGTTTTTCCGAGAAGGTTTCAGATTAAAAAAAAAAAATTGGAACCCCCAAGGTTTCACATTAAAAAAAAAACGACAGTTGGCGCCCCCGGGGTTTTACATAAAAAAAAAAAACGACAGTTGGCGCCCCCGAGAAGGTTTTACTTAAAAAAAAAAAAACAGTTCGGACCCCTGAGAAGGTTTTACATTTTTAAAAAAGAAAGTTGGTTCCTCCGAGAAGGTTTCAGATTAAAGAAAAAGACAATTGGGACCCCTGAGAAGATTTTACATTTTTAAAAAAGTCGGTTGGAACCCCCGAGAAGGTTTTACAATAAAAAAAAATTGACATTAAAAAAACAGTTCGGACCTCCGAGAAGGTTTTGCATTTTTAAAAAAGACAGTTGGGACCCCCGAGAAGGTGTCACATTAAAAAAAGACAATTGCGACCCCCGAGAAGGTTTTACACAAGAAAAAAAACAGTTGGGACCCCATTCTAAAAAAATATATTTCGCGCACCCAAGAAGATCTTACATTTTTAAGAGACAGTTGGGACCCCCGAGAAGGTTTTACATTATGAAAAAAGACATTTTGTGCCCCCGAGAAGGTTTTATATTTTTAGAAAAGACACTTGGAACGTCCCAGAAGGTTTTACATTAAAAAAAAAAAACAGGAGTTGGACCCCCGAGAAGGTTTCACATTAAAAAAAAACAATTGGGACTCCCGAGAAGATTTCACATTCTTAAAAAAGATATTTGGGGCTCCCGAGAAGGTTTCACATTCCAAAAAAAAAAAAAACCATTTGGCGCCCCCAAGGAGGTTTTAAATTTTTAAAAAAGGAAATTGGGAACCCCAAGAAGGTTTCGCATTCTTAAAAAATACCTTTGATGGTTTTATAGTTTTGGAAGTTTCATTCTACCCTATGTAATTTTATTGACAATAACGAGAGGGACAGTAGTACAATGTTAAGAAATATTTATGGCCTACACGAGTTCGCCCTAATTTGTCATAGGATATTTAGCAGGTAGTTGTACATAAATAATGAAAAATAAAATAAGGCTCATTTTCGTTCGTGAGTAACGATGGGCCCTGTACGAACCTGGAATATTCTGCTTTCTAACATCTAGGGATTACCGGCTCGGGATAACTTCAAGTCGTAAATATCTCCTGCTATTGTTCTACTGTCCATCTTGTTATTGCCAATAAAATTTTATAGGGTAGAAAGAAATTTCCAAAACTATACATTTTTAAATAAAGAGGAGTGTAAACATAGATAAATGTACAATGCGAGAGAAAAAGAGAAATTGTAAAATAATGCTCTTTCTACTTGTTTTTGATAATTTTTTTCTTTTTAGTCAAACGTATTGTGATGCATTTTGCCTTCATTGTCAGATCGATTTACCATTTTAAACATTCTTAAGTTTCTTGTTGCGAAAAGACGACTACGCATATTAAGAAACAAGGCAAAATATAAGCCCCGCCCACCCACCCTGTCTCAATTGTGATGTATTTTTTATTCGTCGTAAGCTAGGGGGGGCGGAGCTTAATGTTTTAAGTTCCTTATTGTGAAAAGAAGATTACACATACTAAGAAAAAAGACACAATGTAAGCCCCGCCCACCCGCCCTATCGCAATTGTGATGATTTTTTTTATTCGTCGTAAGCCTTGAGGCGGAGATTAATTGCAAAATCCTTATTTTTCTACGAGAAATTACCATGTGAAACATGCTCTTAAGTAATCGTGTTATTCAAGATAAATACATATATTTAAATTACGAGAAAAACAAAGCCAAACATTTGGTTCCACCCATACCCGCCCCAATCTCAATTCTCAATTTTTCAGTCGTTATTAGATCGAGGGGCGGGGCTTAATTCCAAAATGCATATTTACCTGCCAAAATTTACCATTTTAAACAGATTTTAAGTTTTTAAGAATAAAAAAGTCATCACAGTTGAGATGAGATGGGTGGGCGGGGTCTATATTTTGCCATTTTATTCTTAATATACATAGAAGAAACAAGTATTTTGCAGTTAAGCTCCACCTCATTGCTTCATGACGAATAAAAAAAATTATCACAATTGAGACAGGGTGGGTGGGCGGGCCTACATTTTATCTGTTTGTTTTAATATGTGTAGACTTCATTTCAGAAGATAGAACTTAAAACATGTTTAAAATGGTAAATTTGTATAAGGAAATATCGATTTTGCAATTAGGTTTCGCCCCATAATTGCAAAATCCATATTTCCTTGATAAATTTAGCATTTTAACTATGTCTTAAGTTTCTTGTTATGAAAAGATGACTACGTACATTAAGTAAAAAGCCAAAAAAAAGAGCCCCACCCACCCACCCTGTCTCAATTGTGATGATTTTTTTCATTCGTCTTTAAGACGAGAGGCGGAGATTAATTGCAAAATCCTTATTTCGCTACGAGAAATTGCCATCTGAAACATTAGTTTTTTAAGTAATCGTGTTCTACGAACAAAAAAGTCGAGACAATTGAGATGGGGTGGGTGGGCGGAGTCTATATTTTACTGTCAGTGTTTGGAGTTTTCCATTCCCCGATTTTTAACTTTTCGGTTTTTTAGTTTTTCGTTACTTTGTCATTGAGATCTGCAATTTGTAAGTCACAATTTTTCTATTTTTGAATTTTTCGGTTCTTCAATTTCTTGTGTCAACTTCTAAAAGCGTCAATGTATGTAATAGCTGTACTCTTCTCAAGGGTAGCAAAGGACTACCACACCTATCTTCGTCACTGACAAACAAACCACTTCGTCAACGAATCAGTTTATCCAACGTGACGAAAAAATTCCACGCCCCACTTTCGTCTAAAAACACCCTACTCGATTCACACACACATCTAACCGAATTATAAAACCATGTCCGTCCTCGTGCACAAAAACGCATAATCGCTAAGCCTGTGGGACACCTGTATTTTCCAATATTCAAATCCCCCTATCCAGCTTTCCAGCGCGATTCGTCGAAAAACGAAAAAAGCACGATTTCCGGCCACGGCGGACGCGCCGTCACCGCCGTCCGTCCGAATCCCATACGGCCGCTCCCGAAAAAATAAATATAATTTCGATAGGAATCAGGTTTAAATAGATGCAAATTGAAGAGGACGCTTTGGTGAACATCAAAAACAGCCGTTGTCTTATTCCTGGACGCATTACGTGCCGTTGCGCAGAGCGAGAGGGTTGATGTAAAACTCCCTAGTTTTAATGAATGCAAATTGACTGCTTTGCATTTTAAACTTGCAATCAAGTAGAATGATGGTATAAATATTCATATGGTGGTTTTGCTTCCCACTGCTTATTATTGAGTATGACGAGTATGACGTTTCGACAATAATATGTGTTTTCGAACAAGGAATTGCGTTGGGGGGTGGAAGTGGGTGAGTGTGGAGACGTAAACGGGCGAGTGGATACTTGCCAGTTTTCTCGACTCAACGCTTTGTTTCTCTTTTTTTATTGACATTTATCCTCTCGTCAAATACGGGCTTTTAAGGAAATTGTCTCACATACTGGATGGCTGGAGCCCTGGCGACTTTTTAATTATTAATCTTTAAAATGGCAGAAGGTGGGGAGGTTTTGGCTCGAGGATTGTGTTTCACTTGTAATTTCTGTTGTTAAAGTGCGTCTTTGTTTTATTGTGTGTAGCACTCACAAAATGCCTCAAAGAAAAAGCGCAGACCGGAACTTGCTCCTCTCTATTCATTATAATTTATTAAGTTCTTAAGGGAGGTAAAATTTACTTCAGTGGAGAGTTTTCTGGTTTAATATACGACAATTTTTTGACTCTCTACGGGACTAGGGGGAAGTTATCAGGTCGGTGGCACAACCCGGCCACAAAACCCATTTTATGACAAGTTATTAGCTTTTGAAACCAACGCTAATCCACTTTTAAAGTGAGTGGCAATTTGGCAATCAAAAAAACAACAATAAAACCGGATGAATAACGATTACGTTTGGCGATAACATTAAACTACGAACTTTGGTGCCCCCACAATAAATTATTCTTCCATTAAGCCCCGTTGTCACTTCTCAAATAAAAACGAATAACCGCCAAACAAAAACACCTTTGATTACCCGAAATTGCGACCAAAAATTATGTGACGCCAATTTCCGTGCCAATTTTTCGAGAAAAAATGAAACGTTTAATTCTCACCCCCGCGAATTGCGTTACGAATTTAATATTTTATTTAATTTTAAATCCGCTGTCCACGATGACTTTCCGCGTTATGAGGGTTATAACGAAAATCTGCGCATATAAATTAGGGCTGGAAAAAGCGCACGCTAATACCTATTACACGCTAATTCTTTCATCCGCCCCTTTTCCCTAGTCTCACAAATGAATACGTCGTGCGTTCGAAAACTGGAATTGATTGTTAAACGAGTAGATAATCTAACTCACTGAGAATCTCGACAGTGTGTATTAGGTCCCCATGTGAACCATCCCCTATCTGACAAGTGTAGTCGCCCTGATCTGAATATCTGATGTCCCTCACTTGCAGATTATAGCCCAAGAGCGATATCCTCGGGTCGGCCGTGATTTTTTGTTGACCGGCGGTTAAAAGGGTGATTCCTCTTTTCCATACAATAACTAGCGAGCCTGAAACAAATAAATATAGAGAGAGATGGAGTCTGCAAGGATTACAACAAAAAAATGAGGAAAAAGGGAATTACGGATTTTGCTTGGGGATGCGGATTTTTGTGCGAAATTTGTTTGGTCTTCGGTATAAGACACTAAGTTGGAAAAGAAGGGAGGCTAAAATTACCCAATAAATCACAATGAAAGACGATCATTTTTGTATTTGTTTTTACAATAAATAATATAATTTCTTCCTTCTTTGCAAACCCTTCTAGAGCTTCCTCGAACTAATACTATGTAACCCCTCCCTGGAATCTAATTCTACGTCTTCCAATTGCATTATTCCTTCTTCCCCAGTGTCCTCGTCAGCTCTCCAATGATGACCGAAACCCCACAAACTTAACACTTTTTGTTACAACGCAACTCTAATTTTTGAGGGCTGACGACCACCTTTCGCCCCACCGACAATTTGATGACGTCATATCAATATTTTGCGTAGTAAATTTTACTCAAATTTTACAAAGTACCATGTTTCTACACTTGTGATTTATTAATCTGCCCTTATTTTTTATTTTCGGGGTCATTATTTTTGGAAAAAATCAAAATGTAAAACAATATTTTATAATTTAAGAGAGATATTTTTTACGTCTTTTTTAAAGACTGTGAATGATTTTTCGGGACCCTGGTGTTTTTTTTTTTTTTTTAATTTGAAGAAATCTGGAAGGTCTCTGTTGTCTTGTTTCTGAAAGAGTTTGAAAGACTCTTACGAGAGGTGTCATAAGAAAAAGATAAAATTCGTAGAATCAAATTTTTGTAAAGACTTTGAAAGAGTCATTCAAATTTCTGCTATCTTGTTTTTGAGTTTAAAAGATTCTTGGGGGCTTTTAGTCTCTATTTGATATTAATTTATACAAAAGAAGAAAACAAGATTGTCAGAAACAAATTTTGAAATTTTTTTAAAGGAATCTTGGGATTTCAGATGTTTTATTTTTGAAAGAGTTTAAAATAATTTTTGGGACTCCTTGTGTCTTGTTTTCAAAATGTGAAAAAATGTTGAGGGCCTCTTGCATTTCTTTGAAAGAATTTGAAAAAACCTTGAACACCCATGTTTGGTTTTTGAAAAATTTTGGAAGTCCCATAATCTTTTTTTACAAATAACAAAGAATTTTGAGGGACCTTGGCGTTTTATTAAAAAAAAAAAAATTGAAGAAATCTGGGAAGTCCCTTCTTATCTTGTTTTGAAAAAGTTTAAAAGAATTTTGGGGGCCAATAGTTACTTTTTTATAGTTATTTATAGGAGCTGTCCTAAGAGAAAAATGAAACTCACAAAATCATAAAGTCTTTGAGAGAGTCTTGAAAATTTCTGATGTTTTATTTTTCAAAGAGTTTGAAACAATTTTTAGGCCTCCTTGTGTTTTGTTTTTGAAAGAATTTGAAAGAATCTTTGGAATTCATTGCGTTTTATTTTTAAAATTAGAAAGAAGTTGACTGCCCTTTGCATTTTTTTAAAGATTTTTTTTTATAAATATGATAGTGTCTTTAGGGACTTTGGCGTTTTATTTACAAAAAATTTGAAGAAATCTCGAGAAGATTTCTTTTAGGACTGAAAGAATATTGACAATTTCTTATGTTTTGTTTTTGAAAGAGTTTGAAAGAATTTTGGGGACTCTTAGTTTCCCTTTTATATCAACTCATATGACGTGTCGTAAGAAAAAATGAAATTCACAGAATCAATTTTCAAAGACTTTGAGAGTCTTGAAAATTTCTGATCTTTCATTTTTGAAACAGTGTGAGAAAAATTTAAGGGCGTCTTGCATTTCTTTGAAAGAATTTGAAAAAAACTTGAGTATCATGTGGTTTTGAAAAATTTTGGAAAAATCTAGAAAGTCCCCTAATCTTTTTTTTTTTTAATAAATATGAAAGAATCTTTAGGGACTTGGCGTAAAAAATTGAAGTAATCTCTTAGTTACTTTTTTTATAATAATTTATAGGAGGTGTACTAAGAGAAAAATGAAAGTCATAAAATCAGATTTCTTTTAGGGCTGAAAAAATATTAAGAATTTCTTATGTTTTGTTTTTGAAAGAGTTTGAAAGAACTTTGGGGACTCTTAGTTTCTCTTTTATATCAACTCATATGGGGTGTCATAAGAAAAAAATGAAAAGCACAGTATCAAATTTTAAAGACTTTTGAGAGTCTTGAAAATTGCTGATCTTTTATTTTTGAAACAGTTTGAGAGAAATTTAAGGGCGTCTTGCATTTCTTTGAAAGAATTTGAAAAAAACTTGAGTATCATGTTGTGTTTTTGAAAAATTTTGGAAAAATCTAGGAAGTCCACTAATCTTTTTTTTTTTAATAAATATGAAAGAATCTTTAGGCACTTGGCGTTTTATTAAAAAAAAAATTGAAGGAATCTCCTAGTTACTTTTTTTATAATAATTTATAGGAAGTGTACTAAGAGAAAAATGAAAGTCATAAAATCAGATTTCTTTTAGGGCTGAAAATACATTAAGAATTTCTTATGTTTTGTTTTTGAAAGAGTTTGAAAGAATTTTGGGGACTCTTAGTTTCCCTTTTATATCAACTCATATGGGGTGTCATAAGAAAAAAATGAAAAGCACAGTATCAAATTTTAAAGACTTGAGAGTCTTGAAAATTTCTGATCTTTTATTTTTGAAACAGTTTGAGAGAAATTTAAGGGCGTCTTGCATTTCTTTGAAAGTATTTGAAAAAAACTTGAGTATCATGTTGTGTTTTTGAAAAATTTTGGAAAAATCTAGAAAGTCCCCTAATCTTTTTTTTAAGTAAATATGAAAGAATCTTTAGGGACTTGGCGTTTTATTAAAAAAAAAAAATTGAAGGAATCTCCTAGTTACTTTTTTTATAATAATTTATAGGAGGTGTACTAAGAGAAAAATGAAAATCATAAAATCAGATTTCTTTTAGGGCTGAAAAAATATTAAGAATTTCTTATGTTTTGTTTTTGAAAGAGTTTGAAAGAATTTTGGGGACTCTTAGTTTCCCTTTTATATCAACTCATATGGGGTGTCATAAGAAAAAAATGAAAAGCACAGTATCAAATTTTAAAGACTGAGAATCTTGAAAATTTCTGATGTGTTATTTTTGAAACAGTTTGAGAGAATTTTGAGGGCGTCTTACATTTCTTTGAAAAAATTTGAAAAAAACTTGAGTATCATGTTGTGTTTTTGAAAAATTTTAAAAAAATCTTGGAAGTTCCCTGACCTTTTTTTTATAAAAGAAAGAGTCTTTAAGGATTTTGGCGTTTTATTTAAAAAAAAATTGAATAAATCTGTTGAAGTCCCTTCTTGTTTTGTTTTTGAAAGACTTTGAAGGAATCTCTTAGTTACTTTTTTTATAATGATTTATAGGAGGTGTACTCAGAGAAAAATGAATGTCAAAAAATCAAATTTCTTTTAGGACTGAAAAAATATTAAGAATTTCTTATGTTTTGTTTTTGAAAGAGTTTGAAAGAATTTTGGAGACTCTTAGTTTCCCTTTTATATCAATTCATATGAGATGTAAGAAAAAATGAAATTCACAGAATCAATTTTTAAAGACTGAGAATCTTGAAAATTTCCGATGTGTTATTTTTGAAACAGTTTGAGAGAATTTTGAGGGCGTCTTACATTTCTTTGAAAGAATTTGAAAAAACCTTGAGTAACCATGTTTCGTTTTTGAAAAATTTTGAAAAAATCTTGGAAGTCCCCTGATCTTTTTTTTTATAAATATGAAAGAGTCTTTAGGGACTTTGGCGTTTTATTAAAAAAAAAAAAATTGAAGAAATCTCGGGAAGTCCCTTCTTGTTTTGTTTTTGAAAGACTTTGAAGGAATCTCCTAGTTACTTTTTTTATAATAATTTATAGGAGGTGTACTAAGAGAAAAATGAAAGTTATAAAATCAGATTTCTTTTAGGACTGAAAGAATGTTGAGAATTTGTTGTTTTTTTTTTAAATAGTTTGAAAGAATTTTGGGGACTCTTAGTTTCCCTTTTATATTAACTCGTATGAGGTGTCGTAAGAAAATATGAAATTCACAGAATCAATTTTTAAAGACTTTGAGAGTCTTGAAAATTTCTGATGTGTTATTTTTGAAACAGTTTGAGAGAAATTTTGAGGGTGTCTTACATTTCTTTGAAAGATTTTGAAAAAACCTTGAGTAACCATGTTTTGTTTTTGAAAATTTTTTGAAAAAATCTTGGAAGTCCCCTGATCTTTTTTTTATAAATATGAAAGAATCTTTAGGGAATTTGGCGTTTTATTTAACAAAAAAATTGAAGAAATCTCGGGAAGTCCCTTCTTGTTTTGTTTTTGAAAGACTTTGAAGGAATCTCCTAGTTGTTTTTTTTTAAATAATTTATAGGAGGTGTAGTAAGAGAAAAATGAAAGTCATAAAATCAGATTTCTTTTAGGACTGAAAGAATATTGAGAATTTCTTATGTTTTGTTTTTGAAAGAGTTTGAAAGAATTTTGGGGACTCTTAATTTCCCTTTTATATCAACTCATCTGAGATGTCAAAAGAAAAAATGAAATTCACAGAATCAATTTTTAAAGACTTTGTGAATCTTGAAAATTTCTGATGTGTTATTTTTGAAACAGATTGAGAGAAATTTTGAGGGCGTCTTGCCTTTCTTTGAAAGAATTTGAAAAAACCTTGAGTAACCATGTTTTGTTTTTGAAAAATTTTTGAACAAATCTTGGAAGTCCCCTGATCTTTTTTTTTATAAATATGAATGAATCTTTAGAGAATTTGGCGTTTTATTTAACAAAAAAATTGAAGAAATCTCGGAAAGTCCCTTCTTGTTTTGTTTTTGAAAGACTTTGAAGGAATCTCCTAGTTACTTTTTTTATAATAATTTATAGGAGGTGTACTAAGAGAAAAATGAAAGTTATAAAATCAGATTTCTTTTAGGACTGAAAGAATATTGAGAATTTGTTGTTTTTTTTTTTTTTGAAATAGTTTGAAAGAATTTTGGGGACTCTTAGTTTCCCTTTTATATTAACTC